AGGGAGGGAGGGAGGCAAGGAGAGAGAGAGAGAGAGAGAGAGAAACCATATGAGCCTCTCTGGCGCAGCGGTTAGAGTGCAGTACTGCAAGCTACTTCTGTAGCCAGCTGCCTACAATTTGGCAGTTCAAATCCCACCAGGCTCAAGGTTGACTCAGCCTCCCATCCTTCCGAGGTGGGTAAAATGAGGACCCAGATTGTTGGGGGCAACAGGCTGACTCTGTAAACCGCTTAGAGAGGGCTGGAAAGCAATATGACGCGGTATATAAGTCTAAGTGCTATTGCTGTTTCATGGGGACCTAACCCTGCTCACTTAAGATTAGGGTTAGGTCCCCATGAATTCAGACAACAAAGTGAACATCACCGACTGGTTTATAGTATATTAGGAGGCCCCTGACTTTTCCAGCCCTTCCTTTCTATGGGATGGGTAGATTAATTTTTCCCTATTCTGTGACACAAAAGGGATTGGTTTCCTTTTTACGATCTGCGGGCTTCAACTCCCAGAACTCCCCAGCCAGCCAGAAGTCCACTCATGTTGAAGTTGCCAAGGCTGAGAACACTGGGAATGGAATGAGGAGGGGACTCTTGATAGCCTACCCTTTGAGGTGCCCCCATCCCAATCCTTTTGACCTACTTGTAAGACTACCGCATCCCAATTTTGAAAAGTTATTGTTCCTTTCTTTCTAGATATGGCTGAAGAAATCGATTGACGATAATGGAGTTGTGCTAAGGCACCTCTCAAGGCTGAAGTTGGCAAGCCAACCTCTTGAGATCTTCCTCCAGCATAGATCATAGAAGAGGCAAGAGTGAATTGCCCGGCGTTCTTCCTCGAAGCCTACAACTCAAAGCTTCTTACAGATTCTTGCCTTCTGCACAGACCTGGCCCTCCCACCGTGGACTAAGAAAGAGGCTGGAACTCAGCTTAGTCCTTGCCGGCTCTATCCTTGCCCCAAGCTTGAGATAGCCAAGGTCCTTCCTCATCCAACGTATCCAAGGCTACTTATTCTTCTCCCTGTTGACCTTACATGGCAAAACCTGATCTCTATCCTCCCAGGGATCGTAATTTGGATCCACACAAAGATCCCACAGTCAGGGTGGACAACATGATCCAGCTCAGAACTTCTAGTTTGACAGTAGTTCTTATCTTCTTCTACCTGCAATCTCCCCTTCCCCCATGGGAATTTGCCCACTGGATTTTAAGCCACTGCCTCTGGGAACAGTTTTCTTCTCTCGCTGCACCCAAGAAGCAAAATTAGTCTGGGATTTGGCCAAGAGACTATCTTAGTATCTCGGGCATCCTGGCAAAGTTTATGTCACATGCATCACGGCCAACTTGCCACCACCGACTCCCCGCAAGACAACTCTCTGCCGGACAAGAGTTATACTAATATCAAAGAAATGGTGGAATAGAATAATTAAAGAACGGGTGCAAAAGGAGACGCAAAATGAAATGCGAATGATAAAAAGTAAAGTAATGTTTATTTATTTATTTTAAATAATTAAATTGAATTGTTCAATAGCCCTGCAGTGAGTTGTCCCACAGCAAGTTGGCCATGGCAAGTTGGCCATGGCAGCAAAATTTTTTTCGAGTTGTCCATTTCTGGGGTCAGGCTGCCCCGATGCGATCCTTTAGGAAAGCAAAACCCTTGACTCCGTTTGGTTGAAGTGAAAAGAACTTTTAATAAAAGGCTTTTACAGTTTGCCATTCCCTCCCCTCAAGCCCAGTTCATCGTTGACCAATCCGGTATTGCCACAATGTTTTGAGAAACGCCGGGGTGTTTTGGGGACCCTGGAATTTCACCCCACCCCCCACCCAGGACAAAAGGCCTTGAAGATCCCAGGCACAACCAACCTGAACTACTCTGCTCTTCTTCGCCTGTCATTCCCCGCTCCCTAATTCCCACCGTTGATGTATACAGGTGTTCATTGCCCAATTGGTTCCTCCTTCCTTTCTGCTCCCTTCCCTTTTTAATGGCAGGACGCCAGCGAGGTGCCAAGCCGAAGTGTGCCTCAAAACTTTTTTCTGCTGGGAACTTTCAAAAACTGGGAGGGAGGGGGCATCAAAGATAGCACAAGGGAAACAGATGCTTGACCTGAGGGCACACATCTTCTTTTCTAGCCATCAGTAAACACTCAACATTAGGACTAAGGTTCTTTTTTAAACACAATAACTTAGAAGAAAAATAACAAAAGTGCCTCTGAGCAGCACTGGATGTCGCCTTTCAGCAAGAGACACTTGTGATGCACGAAGAAACCTCACGGGGAATTGAACGGACTTCTTTCTGCAAGCTTTCTTTCGAAATAAAAATGAAAACATCAACAACAACCAATGGAGATGGAAAAAAAATCTGCCTTCGGTAGACTTTGCAGATTACGTTCATGTTTGCCTTGAAATCAATCCCACTTCATGGAGTGGGGCTTACTTTTAAGTGTGCCTAAGATTAAACCCAAATACTTGGTCAGAGGTCTCTGGTTTTTTTCCCCCCAAGTGTCATGCCCCTGGTGGAGACTGACTCTGAGGGAGAGGAGGAACAGCCAACAGGGAGTGGAAGTGTGGCTCTGGAGGTGGTGGAGGAGGCTGGGGAAGGGCAGAGGCCAGCTGGGCAGTCAGAGGAGGACCCAGACCCATCCCCTATCCATCCTAGGGCACGCAGGGACAAGCGGATAAGGGAGAGACATGGTCTACTGGGGAGGAGAAGGCCTTGATCCTCTTCATGGGCTGCAGCTGTGACAACTGGATAAGAGGACGGACATGCATACGGGCCAGTGCTGGAAACAAAGCATGGAAATATCTCTAGTTTATGGTTCCTCTCTTGAGTTTGGCGTCCTTCCCAGTGTGTGTTCTGTTATCCGTGGACGTCCTCCATCCCTTATCTTGCCTGGTTTGTGTTGTTTTGTACTCTTTATAATTTAAACAGCATTTTCTCCCTTCTGGTAACTGCTTGTGTGGGAGTTTTTTGTCTCCAGTCAAGGATATTCGGAGCTTGGAAGCAAAGTGAAGGAATAAAAGGGGCTTCACCTGTTTTTTGTGACTGTGTTTATTTTGTATCCCACCCTGGGTCATCACACCAAGCCTCAAAAATGTCAGTCTTTGATTCTAAGCGCTGAGTGCTGTAGAAGTTTATGCTCTTTTTTTTTGTGTCTTCTGTGGCTCTAAAGAGTATCTGGAGGAATAGTAATAGGGAATTCCAATCATGTTCAGCAGTTGTTTGACATGGTAGTGGGGGCAAATCTGGAACCACCAGGAAAACAATTCAAGGAAAGATAAAATTAAATGAGAACAGAGACTACGGGAGGATGCATAGAAGGAGAATGAAAATCTTACAGGCCCTCCACTTCCTTCACATTAGAATTCCTAAGACCATCAACCAGAGCCAGGTAGAAAAGCTACAGCTTTCAGAATGCATATTTTCAGTGTGCAGGAATTTTATCTCAAGTTCCTGAGGTCACCAAGTAGAACTAGCGCTATGTATGTTAATACAGCCAAGAAACAGGGTCTTTAACATCCACAAGATGGAGGCATGAATGAGAAAAGGATTAAATTCCCAACACTTCCCCTGATTGGCTGAGCTCCTCTCCTCTTGTAAAGTTTCCCTTGTCCAGCCACATCCAGCTCTAAGGCATGGTGCTCATCTCCAATTCTTGGGCAAAGGAGCCAATGTTGGCCATTTTCCATGGTCATGTGGCCAGCATGACTATTATATATGCCAAAGGCACACAGAACACTCTTACCCTCCCAGCAAAGTGGTACCTATTTATCTACTCACATTTGCATGTTTTCAAACTGCTAGGATGGCAGGAGCTGGGGCAAGAACAGGAGTTCACTCCATCCTGTGGTGCTTGGATCTCGAACCTGGGCTATCAGGAGCTCAGTATCTTTAACTGCCGAGCAATCGCACCCTCTTGTCCATTTCCTTGTCCACTCACATGGCCAATTCAAGATGAGAGAGCAGCCGATTGATTCTCCCTGATGGACCATCTTACAAATATTGGAGAAGAGTAAATCCCGAAATCCCAAAGTCCTTCCTCAAAAAAGGCCTCAAGGCAACAAGAATCTTAACGAAGCTTCCATGGAGTGAGGAATATCAGAAACGCAGAGCAATTATGCCTATTTCAGTTTTGACAGTTATCTAATGCATAATAAGTGACACGTTGAGGAAGATGTTGAAAAATGCTACACATTGAGTGTGAAAGCAAGAGGGGAAAAAAAATCGGGTCCACCCTGTAAACCAGGGATCTCCAACCTTGGCAACTTTAAGACTTGTGGACTTCATTTCCCAGAATTCCTCAGGCAGTCATGATGACTGGGGAATTCTGGGAGTTGAATTCCATAAATCTTAAAACCGCCAAAATTGGAACTCTCCACTGTAAACGGAATGAGAGTATAGAGCATGAATCTAATAGCCATGCTGGTTTTTTGTTTTTTTTTAAAAAATCCAATTATTACTACTTAACAGGACTTTTTACTCTTGGGGAAGGAGGAGACTAGCTTATGAAGTTGCACATCAGGGCTATGTTTGCACTTTTTTTGAATCAGACAGATAGCCCTAGGCTACAGTGGTCTAATTCAGGCTAGAGGTGAATGTTTGTCCAACAAATTTTACTTTCAACTTTCCTGAAATTGTCAAAAGATGTTCTGGATTTGTTCCTTTTTAAATGAGAGGTCCAGTCCTTAAAATCTACCATAAAATAACCACCAGCTTTCATGCTTTCTAACCCATTAATCAGGAATGTCAAATTGTGGATTAAAAAAACAAACCTTGAAATTATCTCCATGTTGAATACATGCCCATTAAATATTGTGAGATTGTTCACTTTTGTGTCATGAGTGGCGTGATTGCCTAGACTAAAGAGTGATGTGGTGGCCTAGACCACATCACTTACCACTTGGAAGGTTGAGAGTTCAATCCTAGGCAGCGGCAGATGGTTATCAGAGCGGAAAGAGAAAATTTCTGCTGTGAACTCCGCATAGGCGTCAGGAAGGGAATCCAGCCAGTAAATGCTCAGCTCCACTCAGTCGCTCCGACCCCACCCTGAAGCAAGGGATTATACAGGTTTGTAAAAAGAAAAAAGAACAATTATTTTGGGGGTCACAGAATAGGGAGAAATCCATTCCACCCACCTTCTTCCTATGACTCCTGCCAAGAAAGCTTTTCCAGGTGTCAACATTTGTCGCACCTGTACTGTCCTTTGCAAATTCAGATTGAGGTTTTCTCCAACCGAGCTGATAAAAATCTGGCTTCAGGTACATAATGAATGCATCAGTTCCATTTAACAGATAGGAGATCTTCCATGGCAAACAGCTAAGAAACATCTTTGTCCAGCTTAATTCCGGTGGATTTGTGTAATAGAAGGCACCGCTTTCTGCTGCCTGGTGCCACAGGTGTGCTTTCAGTGATTCTGTTCCACGCTGGCATATTGTGCCTCACCCTTCCTATTAAATATGATTTGGAAACAAACCCATCTAACGCCTGCCTGAGTTGCAAGAATATTGAATTGGTCAAGGTTCCGACAAGCCACCTTGAAATTGCAAGATAATCTCAGTCAGGGGAGGGGGAAATTTCTGAGACGCCGTTTGCATTCTGATAAGCCCCTTGACTTCTCTGCGACTTTTCAAAGAGGGCTTACTGTTGTTGTCTTAGCAAATGCTTCACAAACAGCCGAGGGGAAGGCTCCTGTGTCAACAGCCTAGGGAGGGCTTGCATAATGCATTCTACTTTGATTGACAAACTGCAGCGGCTGAGTTCGTGCACTCTGCAATGCTACAAACCAGCATGGATTTGGCACGTGGCAGAATTGGGCAACCTTTGCCATCGGATAATTCGGTTGTTCCTTTGCTAGGGCAAACATCAAGATCACTTGAAGTGTTAGTACGCTTTGTAAGGCCTTAGTAAGACCACAATTAGTATATTCCATCCAGTGTCAGGATTCCGGCAGTGGCCCTATTGAAATCACGAGCTTCGAGTCAAGTTTCAAAAACGTCAAAGGATTCATTAGGAGTGAACCTGTCGGTATGACCTGTGTGTAGCCGATTCTGAGACACGTAATTCACTATCACCCTTGACCCTGGTTTCCCCCCACCCCTCTGGGTGTATCATAATTCATATTCTCCAGCGAAACACGTTCATAGCCAGATTATCAATCATGTTCTCTATGTTTGATTTGTGGGACAGAAACTCCAGTCGCTCAGTTATAATCTTTGCAAGATATGAATGGAATGCACTTTCGATTCCAAACTGCTGTGCTGCTCTTTCAAATTCCTTCCCCCCTTTCTGTTCATGGCAACTCTAAAATGGGCATAGACAATTTTTATGAGTTAACATCCAGTTTGGGTCACCACAATATTAAAAAAAAAAGATACTGAGACTTGAAAAACGTGTGGAGTTGAGCAACGAAGAGGATCAGAAGGGGTAGAGGCTAAAACATATGAAGAACGGTTGCTGGAATTGGGTGAATCTAGTGAAAAGAAGGACTTGGGAAGACATGGGAGCAGTCTTCCAATATCTGAGGGGTTGCCACAAAGAAGAGGGGGTGAAGTTATTTTCCAAAGCACCAGGAGGCAAAACAAGAAACAGTGGAAATAAACTAAAGAAAGACAAAAGCAACCTAGAATTAAGGAGAAATTCCCTGATAGTGAAAGCAATTAATCAGTGGAATGGCTTTCACAACTTTACAAACTGGTGGACTTCAACACCCAGAATTCCTCAGCCAGCATGAAAACTCCGGGAGTCGAAGTCCACAAGCCGTAAAGTTGCCAGGGTTGGAGACTCCTGTCTTAGCAAACGACTGACTGCCATGGACTTCACTTCTGATCGTTTCCCTGCCAGCTGCTGTTGTACTCCTGAACTAGCCATAGTCTGAATCTGGGACCTCTCCTTGGTATATAGTCCTACCTCAATGAGTTTGATTCTTAGGTTACCAATGAAAGGCCTAAGGAAAAAGAAAGTTGGGATCCCTCAGAGAAACAATTGAATTATTTAGGGAAATGAAAAAGAGCAGGATGCCAAAAGAACAGCAGATCCGATTTCAAACTCTCATCAGTTCTACAAGAGTTCTCCGCTCGTGTTCTCTCTTGAGTTCCTCACTCCCAGAAGGCCACCTTGGTGGATGGTGAGTTATGTCCTTGTATCTGCTGTGATGCACTGCCGATCAATAAAAGAAAGCTTCAACTATCAT